ATAACATTTCGAAATTCCAATCATTACGAAAACTTCCAATTCTTTATATACTTTGAAATTCCACAAAAAGTGAATATCAAGATTACAAAAGTTCCAAAATTTGACCTATTTTTGAAGATTTTCAAAAATTTTTGATCCTTCTGAAGTTTTATCGATTTATAGAATTTTTTCGGTTTCAAAGTTTCTGAAAACTTCTGAACATTTTGCAGCATTAATTCGTGGTGAGAATATTCAGGCCAAAATACTCAAAAAATGGTACGGCCGAAAATCAACTCAAAAATATGTTTTTGTATATCTTATTGACCGGTACTGTATGTTAAGCCGGCCTAAGCTAGATTTAAGCCGGCTAGAGTTAGTTTTAGCTAGTTTAAACGTGTCTAACTTCAAGCTAGCCTGAACTAACCAGCCACTCTAATTCAGATGGTAGCAATGTGGGGCCTTAGTTAGGTCCAAGCTAGCTTAAGTTTGTTCTATCTAGCTTAAGCTAGCCTAAACTAGTCTAAGTTAATCAGCCACCGTAGCTCAGCTGGTAGCAACGCGGCGCCTCCAACTGTGGGTCCACAAGTTCAACTCCTCGAGGGACTTATTTGAACCAAAAAATTGTTTTTTCCTGCCCCCTTCCCTTTCAAGCATGTTCTGACACTTCTAGACACTCTTGTTTTCCTTTTTTGCTCCTTGTCACTTGTTTTTTTTTCTCTCTCACTGACTCTTTTTTGCGAAGTCTCATTACTCTGACTTCTCACACAGTCGAGGGACGGACGTCATCTTGTTTTTGGTCTAGAAGAGAGCCTATTTTCATAGAATACCCACATTTTCGGCGAACACCCCGAGTGCCCCCCGGTACATATTATGTCAGGTGGTCTTTTGAAAATTTTTTAGGGGAGATAGGTGTTATTTTTTTTCTTGTTCTCTTTTTTCTACGAAAATTGGATACTTTGAGGGGAAGGACATGTGAATGAGGTGGAAAATTTGACTATTCTGTAAATCAGATCAGAAATTTTTTTGTGAAGCTTAAAATGAGCCGATTTACTCCCTATAGAGCAGTAGCTGTTATTCAACCTTAATTATCTCGGTTCCTGTAAGAGATATCAAAAAATGGTCAACTGATAAAATGTAGCTGATAAAATTTTACATTTTTTATTAGTTGACAACTTTTTGATATCTTTTACAGCAATTGAGATAATCTTACAGAAATGTACAAACATCAATTTTTAACAATTTACGATTTCATTTGTAGGTCAAATTGAACAGCATTACTAGTGAAACCGACTAATCAGAATACTGTTTGTTCTAAAATCTGACAACTCTGAAACTTTAATTATTTTCTCAAAACTCGAAAAAAGAGTCAAGTGACTGAGCTTTAAGCATCGTTATCTCATTTCCTGTAAGAGATATCCAAAAGTTGTTAACTGATAAAATAAAGCTGATAAAATTTCACACATTTTATCAATTGACAATTTTTAGATACCTCTCACAGAGAAAAAGATAATTGAGATCAAATTCCAACTATAAAATAACAGTTTTTGAAAAAAAAATACTGCTTCAGATTCTTAATATCAGTTGGGAGCCATATGGTGACCCCCGATGCAACATCCGTTCAAATTATCTCAATTTCTGTGAAAGATATCAAAAAATGATCAACTAATAAAATGCAGCCGATAAAATTCCACACATTTTATCAGTTGACCACTTTTTGATATCTCTCACAGTACCTCACAGAAATGTACAGAATCAATTTTCAACAATTTACGGTTTCAAGGTTCTGAAACTTTAATTATTTTCTCAAAGTTCAAAAACATAGTCAAATTATGACACTGTAATCCCAACCATCTCGTTTCCTGTAATAGATATCAAAAAATAAGGTAAACTGATAAAATTTTGCTGATAAAATTTCGCACGTTCATCAGTTCCCAACTTTTTCGTATCTTTCACAGAAAACGAAATAATTGAGGTCCCCCGATGTTTTTCTGGGTCTGTGAAAAGTTGATGTTATTTTTGAAGTTAAAAATACATCGGAATGGAATTGTTATGTGAGTTAAACATTGAAAATCTGATAGTTCTGAAACTTTGATTATTTTCTCAAAATTCAAAAGAAGGTCAAGTTGCGGTACTTTAAACCCAAAAATCCCAATTTCTGTAAGAGATATAAAAAATTGTTGACTAATAAAATGTAGCTGATTAAATTTCACACATTTCATCAGTTGACAGTTTTTCGATATCTTTCACAGAAACCGAGATAAGTGAAATCAAATTTAGGAGAACTGTTTCGAGAAAAACATTTACGGCTTCAGATTCTTATTATCTGTTGGAAGCCATACACTAACTACTCGACATACTGTTTTTTTAATAAACCTAATTTATCTATTTTTCAGTGAAAGATATCAAAAAATGGTCAACTGATAAAAAAATTCTGATAAAATTTCACACATTCTATCAGTTGACAACTTTTTTGATACTCGTACAGTAACCTCACAGAAATGTGCGGAAATCAATTTTCAACAATTTACGGTTTCATTTTTTGGATAAAGTTACAGTATTTTTAAAAACAATATTTACCCTCTGACAATTCTGAAACTGTAATTATTTTTTCAAAATTCAAAAGAAGTTTACGGAACAAGTTACGGAACTTAAACCCTAATTGTCGGATTTCCTGCAAAATTTGTCAAGAAATGATTAATTGATAAAATGTAGCTGATAACATTTCACATAATTTATCAATCAACAACTGTTTGATATCTCTTACAGAAAATGAGATAATTGAGAGCAAACTCAAAAAATTTAATTTTCTGTAAAAGATATCCAAAAATTGTCAACTGATAAAATGCTACTGATAAAATTTCCCACATTTTATCAGTTGACAACTTTTAAATATCTTTTATAGGAATCGAGATAATTGAGTTCAAATCCACCGAAGAAACCCGTTTTTGGGAAAAAAAAATACAGCTTCAGGTTCTTGTTATAAGTTTGAAGCGATAGACTCACTACTGATGTAAGCTCGTTTTTATCATCAAACCTAAAGTATCTCATTACTCGCACGAGATATCATGTTGCTGATAAAAATTCACACATTTTATCAGTTGACAACTTTTTGACACCTTTCAGAGGAAATGAGATAATTAGGGGTAAAGTTGAGAAAAACTGTTTCCATTTTTTTAAACTATTTCATGATTACTGTAATAAGTGAGACTATACAAGTGAGTCAGTTCAGGAATTGGGCCGGAATCCCATTTTTCCAGGCTTCTTTTTCCTTATTTATGAAGATAGGACCATTATGTTTTTTGGTTTCTTTTTTTCTTATCAATATCGGCTGTTCATTTTTTTTGATTATTTTCTCTACATACTAGCTAGTCATATATAGAAACCAAGAAAACAAAAATCGTTTATATAGAAAACTAGGTTTTCGAGAAAAAAGCAACCGTGTAACTGATTGTAAGTTTTTAAAAATTTTCATCTGCTGTTTCACAATTTTTATTTAAAATTTTCAAGTTTATTCAGTATTGTTGACTGCAACATGCGTTTCTGCAAATTTTAGAAAATTTAGTTTAGGAAAATAATACTTTATCATAATTCCTGATATTAAAAAAAAACCAAAATTCCAAAACAATTCATATTTCAATGTTTCAAATATATCAAATTGCCATAAGAACCAGAATTTTTCATTCCACTCACGTCTTCTTTTTGGCTTATTTTAGTGCAATATTCTAAACTAGAAATTTGCTTTTTTTCAGATTTATGTATTATGATTTTTCTTTATTTTTGTGCTCATGGTTCTAGACAAAAAATAATAATTGTTTTCGGCATTTGCAGTTCATGAAGACGTAGCCAAAGAAAGAAAAATTGTTATTCTTCCTCTCTCATATTTCTTTTTTTTTTGGTGTGAGAACTTTTTTTTGTTATTCTTAAAGGAGGCCAGACACCAAAAAAAAAAGTTTTCCTGATATTTTGCATAGAGAACCCCCATGAGGGGTTTAACTCATGACAGGCAGCTCAGGGGTACAGCGCCGCTACCGGCTGAGCTACAGGGGCGCGAAGGCGCCTGACGACCGATGGTCTACATAAGCGCGGCGCGATTTCGTCCCCCGAACTGTCTCCCGAAATTGTTGCTGTCTCGCCTCCTTTAAGGAAAAATTTTACAAAAAAAAATTGAATTTTTAATTTACTGTTCCATGACACCAAGAATTTTTAAAAGTGATTATAATTGTCAATTTGATCAGAAATGATGGGTATTTTTTTTAGAATTCCTGCCAAGACTTAAAATTATGGATCACAATTTCAACAATTCATTGTAACAATCCCCATACCAAAATTTACAAAAAAAAAATTCAAAAAATTGTAGTTTTTCTCTTATATGTATTTCAGGAAATGTTTTAAACATTTTTACTGTTTCATGATGCTTATATTTTTTGTGAGCAATGAAAAATTCAGTAAACTTCGCGATGTATTTTTGACATCTCGCCGAAACTGAAAATTATGGATCACAATTTTAAGACGATTCGTGGATGCTCATTTTTTAGATTTTTCAAAAATTCCAAAATTATATATTTTTGGTTTTTTTAAACTCAAAATTCATCATTTCGTACTCAAGAAACATTCGCCGTAATCTGGAGAATTTCAATAATCAAATTCATCAAAAATCGAAGAAAAATTATATATCATGTGGCTGAAAAATCAATTTATCGGAATTCCATTAGGTTCTGAAAACTGATTTTTTCCCAGACAAATCAGAAAACTTTCTATAACAAAAGTAAAAAAAAAACAGGAAAAATTTGAAATTCAAAAATCAGAAAAATTGATCATAGTTGTTTGCTAAAAAATCAGTGTCACATATTTTCCGATAATTTTTTTTTAAATTTTTTAAAGTTTTTTTATCGGAAGATTGATCTACTTTCTTTTCTCTATTCATTCTCTGTTTCAAGATCCTTATAAAAACTCCTCAATTTTAAAATTTTGCTAATTCATACCGTACCGTTGCAGCACTCCAATCCCAAAATCCCCAAAAAATGATGGGCTCCTCAAGCCAAGAACTGCAAACGGCGCTGACGGACATTTCAAAGACATGTCATCACATGTGGGAAGACTCCAAAGATCTTCAAGGACGTTTCGTCAACGATCTCGCCGAACTGCAAAGACTGCAATGCACAATTACAAATTTCGAGCGAGCTCAGCATCCGGAACAAGCGTTTCAAGCAAAACAAGCAATGACGGAAATGCAAAAGAAGGCTACCGGGGTGTACGAGATGTTGGCACAAAGAAGGAATGAGATTATCAGCAAGTTGAATGATGGAGCAAATATTGCCTCAATGATGCAGGTAAATAAGCTCTACAAAAATTGGAGTTAATTTATCTCCGTTCTTGTGAAAGAAATCAAAAAGTTGTTAACTGACAAAACGTTTATCACAATATCAGCACCATTTTTTAGTTGACCACTTTTTGAGATCTCTTACAGACAACTAGATAAATTTAGTCAAAGTTGCAAAGCTCCTTGAAAAATGCGAAAAGTTTCAGTTTCACAAAAGTGATAACTTTGAGCTGATTTTTGTTTTATCAATACCATTTCCATTTTCTTACGACGGTAGTTAGCAACGAGATAAATTGGTCGCTCAAAGTTGAAAGTTAAGTTAGTCTTTTATTGTTCCGCACAACGACCAACGAATAATTGAAAAATGAACGCATTTGAAAATATGGACATTGTTAAACAGTGTTTAATAAAAGTTAAATTTATGGCTCCTGCAGTTAATGATGCGAAAATTAGACCCTATTTATCTCGTTTCCTGTAAGAGATATGAAAAAGTTGTCAACTGGAAAAATATTGATGATATAAGAAGGAGGAACCGGCAGGAAATTCTTGTAAAATTTGCGAAGAGGACATTCGTGCAGGTGAAGGCCTAGCGAAGAGTTCGATCAGGTGAAGGCCTGTCGAAAAGACGCGATATCCGTAGGAGATTCAACAAAAGCCCGATATCTTTTGAAGGAAAGATTTGTTTTCAGGCTTGGAGATGACGACGATCGGGAGCAAGTCAAGAAGCAACAAGGACAAGTCGGTGGATTCCGAGAAGAGTGCAGTGAGGACGGCGACGATGGAAAGCTGGACAGAAGCGATGCAGAATCAGGTAACGCTGAGAGAGCGAAAGAAGCTTGTCAAAGGTTACGCTGATTTCATCGGAACCAGTGAGACAGTCGTGGAGAGTGTGCGTGAGCAGTTGGGCGTGCACAGCAAATGTTCAGAGAGACAGAAAGATGTGATCGTGAAGCCAATGAAAGAGTTTGTCAGCGAATTGACAAAGCGCTACAACGAGCTGGGCAGTGGAAAGTGGGAGCGCGTTGTGATGCGCATAATGCGAGAAAACGGGCTGGAAAAATTGGAAGACTTGCGGGATGCGGTCTTGCCGGATGATTTGACAGCGAGCGCGAGAAATACTGAATCAAAAGTGTTTCATAACCAGTTGAAATTGTTGCACAAAAAATGGACGAGAGAGCAGGCAGAATTCGAGGAAACGCTGGATCGAACAAGCAGAGAAAAGGAGGTGTTGGTCGAGAAGCTTGAAGAAACGTGGAGAGCCGCCGAGAAGGCAGAAGAAACGATTGAGGAGCTGGAAAGGGCACTGCTGAAGGAAAGGAAAACGTCGGAAAAATGGAGAAACCAATTGGAACACGATGAAGGTAAGAAGAGAGAAACATTGTCAGGAAATAAAGAGAAAACTCAGGTTCATGCAAGGAGATCGCCGTCAAGAAGTTCTAATGGTTCGTCGGTGGATTGGCACAATGAGAAGAAGGAAAGAAAGACCGGTGAGTCTTTTTATAAGAAGGGTGACCTGAAAAATGAGCGAAGTGAAGACTGGCGTGTGAAGGTGAAGAATTGGGAAATGAAGAGCAGTGCGGGGGATTTTCCGGAAAGAAGTGTGCGAGTCAGCGAAAGAAGAAAGTGTGAGCGCGACAGTGAGAGATGTTCGCGAGTGTCACGGGACAGTTCGCGAATGGTAGTGGAGTGCCTAAGCAGAATTATGAGGGCGTCAGCTCTGCCAGAACCAGAGAAGTTCGACGGAAAAGGAGATGTCAAGGAGTTCAAGAGATCTTTCCTTCTGAAGTACAAATCGGTCACGGAGCGTGATGCCGATATGGTAGCAATTCTGGAGGACAAATTCTTGA